TGGGAAGCCCGGGCGCGGCCGCCGCCCCGGGCAGGGCCCTCTGCGCTCTCGTGCTGGCCACGCTCGGCTCCGCCGCCGGCCGCCCGCTCGGGGCAGAGTCTGTGTGCACCGCCCCGGCCCTGGCCAAGTACAGCGTCACCTTCACGGGCAAGTGGAGCCAGACGGCCTTCCCCAAGCAGTACCCGCTGTTCCGGCCCCCCGCGCAGTGGTCGTCCCTGCTGGGTGAGTGCAGCCCCGCCGCCCCAGGTCAGGCGTGTGCCCCGACAGGTCCCCGCGCGCGGCTGCACAGCACCTGCAGTCGGGACAGCACCGGCAACCCAGGAGCCCTCGGCGCGGGGAATTCTGGCGAAGCGCCCACTGCGTCCAGCCCGTGGTGCCCTGGGTTCCGGGGACGTGGTGGGGACAGGGCGGCTGGAGTCACGGGGAAGGCCGGCTAGGCGCTGGTCGCACCAGCCAGGTGTGGGGCCATGTGCAGCTGCAGAATGTCACCATCTGCGCATGATGGGGGCGGACGTGGCTCCCTGCCTTGTGGCCAGGAGAGCTGAAGGGAGGAGGGGCGTGGTGTGTGCTCGGGTGGCGGCTGGGACCCCAGCCCGTGCCACCGCCTCTCACACTGGTGGTCCTCACAGGGGCAGCGCACGGCTCTGACTACAGCATGTGGAGGAAGGACCAGTACGCCAGCAACGGGCTCAGGGACTTTGCCGAGCGCGGTGAGGCCTGGGCCCTGATGAAGGAGATCGAGGCTGCTGCAGAGAAGCTCCAGAGTGTGCACGAGGTGTTCTCGGCCCCTGCTGTCCCCAGTGGCACCGGGCAGACGTCCACGGAGCTGGAGGTCCGCTCCAGGCACTCATTAGTAAGTGGCGTGGCAGCCCGAGGGGAGGTGGGGTCCCTGTGGAGGTCTCCACCCCGCTGAGCCACTACTGCACCAGGTGTCCTTCGTGGTACGCATCGTCCCCAGCCCCGACTGGTTCGTGGGCATTGACAGCCTGGACCTGTGCGATGGGGACCAATGGAAGGAGCACGTGGCCATGGACCTTTACCCCTACGACGCAGGGACAGATAGCGGCTTCACCTTCTCTTCCCCCAACTTTGCAACAATCCCACAGGACACAGTGACCGAGGTGGGTGACCCACGCTGTGCCGGGAGTGCTCTGGACCCATGTATGGGCCTGGGCCTGACTGTGAGGATGCTGCCCACTCCTGCCTGCTGGAGGTGGCTCTGGCACCCCCGCTGCTGGCGCCTGTTTAGAGGCTGGACATCTTTCTAGTGCCCCACCGTGAACACGGGGGTGCAGTCCCACCCCTGGGGGCTGGTGGCACTGAGGGAAGAGAGCAAGACGCAAGGGTCTTGGAGAGGCAAAGGCTGGTCAGCATCCAAGCCTGCATTTCATAGGCTGCTTCGAGGAGCATGTGTCACCCTGCTGGCATGTGAGCACAGTGCAGCCAGTGCCATCATCACGATGTCTCGGGTGAGCCAGGTGGAGGTTGCTGGGCTGTGTGTCACTCCCAGGAGACCCAGGTTTTCCCGCACTGCGCTGCTGGACGCTGGGTCCTGGCCCCAGCAGGGCCACACACACGTGAAGGCCGGCTCCCTGGACCCCGTGCCAACCCCCGCCTCCTCCTCCCTAGATAACGTCCTCCTCTCCCAGTCACCCAGCGAACTCATTCTACTACCCGCGGCTGAAGTCTCTGCCTCCGATCGCCAGCGTGACCCTGGCGCGGCTCCAGCAAAGCCCCAGGGCCTTTGTCCCACCCGCCCTGGACCTGGCCAGCAGGGACAATGAGATCTTCGACAGCCTCTCAGGTAATGTCCAGGTTTCCCATCCCACACACGTTGCAGGTGGCCCGGTCCCGAGGACACTGGGCCATGATGGCAGAGAGGAGGCCACCAGGGCTTCAGAAGTGCGCTGGAGCCCTCCGGTCAACAGGCATGACTCCAGAGTGCCAAGGCTCTTAGGTTCAGAGGGAAATCCCATGTCCACCACTGGCCACATCCTATGGGTGAGAAGCCACAGCTCAGTGTGTGCATCCTGGGCCCCATGGGACATGTCACCTGGTTACATGCAGTAGGGCCAAGCTTCGTGACAGAGCACGTGATCTGAGAACCACTCTGCACCAGGCGCATCCTGAACATAATCCATCAGAGTACGGAGCCTCTCGGGCACCGAGGGCTCATCACTCTTTGGGCCACACGAACCTGTCTCTGAGTAGTGTCAAACAGGGTGTTCACCGCATCGTTACAAGATGAGGCTAAGTTTTAAAGATTTAGGATTCGGTCGATTCAAGCGCTGAGCCAAAGATTTAACTCATAATATTCGCAGTTGAAAGCGTTTCACACTGCTTCGGCCTAGAGGTGACTAATGAAAAGAGACCACAAAGAGTGTCGGAGAGATAATGTCCCCTTCAGAAATGTGCCTGCAGGTGCCCCGCGTGTCACAGCTGACAGGGACAGATGTGACAAACTCGCTAAATTGGGTTCCACCTGTCCCCTCGTTGGGGAAGAAGCAGAGATCGGCAGAGAAGGCTCCACTGCCCCCCGGGAAGCTGTGTCGCCGGGCTCCTCCCGTCCCGCCCTGGCCAGCTGGGGCTCTGCTAACAGGCCCCTCGGCGAGGGGAAGGTGGGTGGGCACACCAGGAGAACCGACAGTATCTTAATCCTCGGGGCCATCATCTGAAGTCTAAGCAAACTGGGGTCCCTTCTCTGCACAGCTTCTGGGTGGTGGCCACAGGCTCCCCATTGAGCCCTGCCGAGCGGCTCCTGGGATGTGTTTCTAGGCCACGGGACAGAGCCCAGTGACGCTGGGTCTCCAGGTGGTCGGAAGGCCCCAGGCAGCCCCTGGTGCTGGGGGGAGGACAGATGAAATAACTGAGGCCACTTGAGGACCTGAGTCTCACCTGTCATGGACATGGGAGAGACAGGATGAGCCTCCAGTGTGCTGAGGGCCCCAGGGTGAGAGCCCCTAAGTCACAGACATTCCCATGGCAGAGCTGGAGCCGGCCAAACCCAGCAGTCAGAGAGCCTCGCTGGCCATGGGGCCAGTCATCCTCCGGCTTCTGGTTGGAGCCGGGGAGGCTCAGGGTCCACTCCACATGCCCTGGACATGACTTGTGAGCAAGGACAGCCTCAGGGAGACGGGCCCTAGACCAGAGGCCGCGCCCGGCGCCAGGTGCTTCTTCGTTTGCGATGGGGCGGCCTCGCTGTGGTCCAGCACCCGTCCTGGTGCCTCAGCCCTGTGGACACCGGAGAGTGGCACCCACTCCCCCACCTCAGGCTTAGCGTCCTTGTCCATCTGTCCAGGCGGATACATGAGTCGAGCACCGGCCATGCACCACAGCCCGGCGCAGCCAGGCAGCAAGTCCTGAGAGTGTGACCTGCCCCACCCCCGGGGGACACCCGGCTACAGTGGGCAGGGAGTGCATGGTCAGTGCGCCGGGCAGGGCGAACTCAGCTGTAGTCCAGCAGGGAGGGCCAGGCGGGGACGCCACGGTGAGCCCTGAATGGGGGCAGGACCTGGAGAGGATGAGGAGGAGGACAGAGCAGGCCGAGCCAGCCCGGGGACCACACCGCGGAGCTGGTGGTGGGAGGGCTGTGTCCAGAGTTGCAGGCAAAGAGCTCGCACTGTAAGTGGAAGGACCGAGCCAAGCCCCTTCTCTACCCGACACCAGGACTTCTGAGGAGCGCAGCCCAATGACACAGTGACCGCTCGCGGCTTGCTCAAGCTGCCCACGGCTCAGGATGTCTGCAGCTGCCACACCAGCCTCCCCAGGGCTTCCTGCGTGCCCGCCTCCCACGCTGGCCTGCCTCTCCCCTCAGGCCCTCGAGTCTGTGTCCTGGGCAACCCCACACCATGCATCGCCCACATGGGGCTCTCCTGCGTCTCTCAGCTCCCTAAGGGCAGAGGCAGGCCTGGCACATGGGGGGTGCCCTCCAGGAAGCCCCTGCCTGAACCATGCCAAGCTGGGCTGGCTCCTCTCTGGCTTCCTGCTCACGGGGATCTGCAGGACCCCAGTGGGGCTTTTGTGAGGCTTTCACTGTGGGCCGGGGGCTGCTGTAACACTTGTGGTCTCTTCACCAGCCCGGAGGATGGGGCTCTGGGCCTCCTGCTGCTCTGGGGCATGTGGGGGCTCAGGTGTTCCCACCCAGGCTGCTGTCTCAGAGCCCTCACCTGCTGTCACATTCCTGGATAGAGCTTCTTGCTCAGAGCCTCAGCTCCCCGGGGTCTTTGCAGACCCTGTTCCACTCTGCTGTAGGTGTGCACCCAGCTGGGGCTACTAGAACATTCCAGGCACTGCCCCGGCACACCTAACTGCACTCTTTATCCTCTCTGTCTCTTCCTGAACTCCCCTGAACCCATTGTGGGGAGACTGGAGCCCTTTGGCACGAGCCCGCCACCCTTGTTGCTGACTGATGGGGTCACGTCCATTGACCTTGGCGCAGGCTTGGTTCCTGGCCTTCTGCAGGGGCTCCCCACCCCCCCACCTGAGGCCGCACAGCCATGGAGAATCACTGTCTGCCTGGCTGGGTGGGCAGGTGGTGGACATAAGAGGCATTTTCACTTTGCTTTGGAAAAATGGAAATCACCAGGTGATTTAAGTATAACCCCAAACCAACGGCTTTCTGTGAAAGTAGTGGAAACGGGTGAGGCGTAGGAAAGCAGTGGCAGTGATGCCAGAAGCGCCGGAGCCCACGGGACGCCGTCCCATAGCCCGAAAGCTCAGCCCGGGGTCTGCGTCTATGCGGTGGTTCGTGTGAACGTAGCCGGCAGTGTAGACTGTCAGAGCGTGTCTCAACAGCAGGAGCGCCCTCCAGGCGCTCTCAGGATCCCCCAGGGGCCTTGGTGCCACAGTGTTGGGGGTGCTTTCCCAAAGCCCGAGACTCAGCCGAGACTTGAGTGACAGCATCCGGCTTGGTACCGAAGCCACAGCTCCAGAGGCTGGCTAGTCTGTAGGGGCCGCATTTGGTGGCCTCCATCCGCCTTTACCGTGGTCTCCTGCGGTCTTACCACGTGGGCTGGGGCTTCCCTCGTTCACAGGAAGCACGTCCTCGCGCGAGCATTCACCGCTGGTCTTGTGCTTGGTCCAGTTCCAGAAACGCCACTGGACTGCGAGGTGTCGCTGTGGTCGTCCTGGGGCCTGTGCGGAGGTCCCTGCGGGGAGCCTGGCTCCAAGAGCAGGACACGCTACGTCCGCGTGCAGCCCGCCAACGATGGCACCCCCTGCCCCAAGCTCGAGGAGGAGACCGAGTGTGTCCCTGACAACTGCGTCTAGGACCCCAGCCTGCAGCATCTCAGCCCCTCGAGCCCCGGGGGACTCAGGTCTCGGCCCGAGGCCTGCGGCAGGCAGGTGGCCAGGGAGGAGGGCGCGGCTGACACCCCCGCCCCGTCCAGGCCCCTCCTTCCTGCACGCTGCCTTCTCCTGGTCACCCCAGGCCCTGTCTGCACGCACAGTCCTTCTTTCGCACGGATAAGTTAATCCCCGGAGCACAGAGTCTCTACTCTAAATTATGTCCCGTTGTAATTTATTATGGCACCGGGAGGTTTCTCTTTCATGCAGAGCACATCCACCCCAGCACTCGGTCGGATGACACCCAGGCTGGACCGTCCCCGCCCGGGGTGCTGGCGTGAAGCTTCCACGTTCGTGGCTCCGGCCCTGCGCAGGGGCCACAGTTGCACAGGGGCGTCTCAGAAGCTTCACTCCCATGTTACAGATCTTCTCGCATTTTAATAAAGACTGTCTCTGTTTCTGAAAAATACCGTTGGCCGTCCTTGCACCTTTCCTGGCACCGTGCAGGCACACAGGGCCACTATGCACAGGCCACCGGGCAAGGGGACGTGAACTTGAGCGAGGGTCTCCCCCAGCAGGGAGGCTGTGCCCTTAGACGACACAAGGTTTCGGAAGACAACATGGTCAGCCCATTACACAGACCCAACACCCACAGCGACTGCACATAGGACAGGAAGTTCAAGGTTCAGCTGTGGCCACAGGGCCCCTGCCGTCCCCTCCTGTGTGGGCGCAGCTCCGCGCTGCCGCTCTCAGAGGCCCCAACCTCCAAGATGCCCCTCAAGGGTTCGCTTGATCTGTCGTGGCCCCTTCGGAGGTCGGGGTGCTCCTTTCCCCAGTACGGCTCCTTCTGGTGGGTTCACAGGGCCCCCCTCCCCAGGCCTGGGCCTGGACTGGGCTTGGTTTGAGGTGCTCAAAGGGTGCTGCGCCCTCAGCCCTCTCCCAGCAGCCAGGAAGGAGGGGACCCTGGAAGACCACCTTCCTCCCGATTGGCTAAAACCCTCCAGCCCTGGCTCTTCTAGGATCAGACCCCAGGAGCCCCTCCCACCATCCTTGAACCCTCCTGATACAAGCCCAGGCTCACAGGCTATGGGTTCTGAGGTTACAGAGCAGATCTAAAAACCCCTGGTTAGAAGTTTTCCTTCCAGTTTCCTGGACCGGTAGTGCCCTGGGGCGCCTGGAAGAATGAGCATAAATCCTGCCAAGGGACTGCACTGGGTACTCAGGATGCAAAGGATTCCCCAGAAACATGAACTCACAACCCAAACCCACAAAACACACAGCACCAGCCCTCATGCCCCCAAATCAATGGAACTGGCAAAATACAAAATCAGACCCAGAGTCCTTGGAGCTGCGGTTATCGGGTCCGGGATACCAGGAGGGCGTGTTGACTGCGTTAACCAAACCATGGAGCTCAAATCTCAGAAGTACACTGGAGAAGCATGAAGGATTGCAGGCTCGAACCCGAGCACACGGACTAAACACGCCAGTAAATAGCAACGATCGTGAGACGAGATCAGCAAAACCACGTGCTGTGCAGAGCCTGTGACATCCCACGGGAACACAAGGAGGCTGTGGAAAGAGACTCCTGTGGACACTGGGAGGGGCCCTGGGGGTGATGGGTGTCCCTTTGGGGTCAGAACACCCTGCAGCACTCTCTTCCCGGCCACAGGGACCCCAGAGTGCCTGTCGATGGGGGCCAGCATGCCGCGGTCGGCCACTGTGAACTGAGCCGGAACCTGCAGCTGACTTAAGAACAGCAAGTGCTGTGGTGGGAACAGAGATTGCAGGGAGACATGCAGAAGGTAAAGCAGGAGACGAGCCCCGCCCAAGCTTTGGAGAAGTGGATGGAAAGCAGCTGCCGCTGGCACCGGGCGCTCTCGCAGGACAGTGGCCAGGACCCACACGGACAAGCCCCTGTCCAAGCAGAGCTCTGGAGGAGCTGGGGAAACTGTGCGACATCTGCTGGTGAGCGTCCCGGGCACGGACCGCTGGCGGCAGAGGCCCTGCTGTGTTGGGTGACAGCCAGGAGGCCCTGTGGCCGCACGGGGTGAGGGCAGCCTGGCAGCAGGCAGGTCAGGCAAAGAGCCGCTGCTCTGGCCCTGTGTGAGGCGGGAGCGCAAGGGCCATGAGACAAGGACTGAGGGACAGCACAGCCAGCTGGGGTGCTGCAAAGGGTCATTCCAGCCACGGGGCTGAGAGCAGCGTGTGGGGCGAAGGCAGGAGGGGGAGAGGCAGGGCACTGCAATGGCCCACACAGGAGGTCCCACAGATGCCTGTGGAAGTGGAAAGAAGGGGACAGTCCCTGCATATATTCTGATGAGAAGGCAACACGAACAGTTACAGACCTGCACTTAACACGACTCCCAGAGACACCTGAGCCGTTGGCCCCCATCCCAGTTTGGGGAAGGTCTTGGCCCGGCTGGGTCAGCCTTGGGAGACAGAGGGGCCAAGTGAGGACATAGTTTGCCCCTGAGGATCCTGTGTGGAGTCTGTAGCCCCCTCACACACTGAACAACCCCAGGCAGATGAAGGACACCTGGGCCAAATGAGGAGGCCACCACCCACACTGAACCCTGCATGTCCCTCAGATCACTAGACGTGGACCTGCTGGATTTTGAGGGGGCTGCTGGGCTGGGCCCAGTGGAAGGGGGTTGCCCAGCCCAGCGTGTCAAGGAGGAGGAGGTCGTCAGGAGTGTTCACTGCTGTGAGAGGGTCTGATGAGGATGCCCCACTGTGCTTGGCAACAAGTAGGTGCTGTGGGCTGGGGCTGTTGGCGAAGAAGCAGAGGGTGGGACGTGGAGAAGTGCGGGGGTGGGGACTTCCTGGCACCAATGGTGGACTGAATCCTCACACCTAACTCCATTCCCACCCAAACTCCACAGAGACTACAGAAGGGACTATTTAGGTGGCAATACCCAGAAGCCTGCTTTGGGCACTGGGGCCGAACAGGCACTGTGAGAAGACATCCCCCATCCACATGCAACAGCCAGACTCGAACCTCTGAATAGATATGGCCTCTGAGACACTGCCCTTTCCATAGATGTACGGGAGAACTCACTTCCAAAAACAAGCAAACAGGGCCGAGCCCGTGGTGCACTCGGGAGGTTGCAGCGCTGGGAGCACAGCAGCGCTCCCACCGCGGGTTCGGATCCTATATAGGGATGGCTGGTGTGCTCACAGCGCTCACTGGCTGAGCGCAGTGTGGCCGGTCTCAAAAAGGACAAAACAAACAAACAAACAAAAAAAACAAGCAAACAGAAAATTGAACTGGGGCTGGAGCAAGGAGGAGGTGAGGCCAAACCGAAGAAAATGAGCTTGTGAATGGCAGGGGAAGGCTGGGCTCCCTGAGGGCTGCTGCTGAGTGGGGGCCACAGCAGAGTTGAGAAGGGAGCCTGGTGCTCCCATGCAGATTGGGACCCTTAAGGTCAGGGCACCCCTTGATATAGGGAACAGCAGAAGTGATTCTGCGCACAGGAAGCTTTCCCAAACCCTAGTACAGGCATCAGTCAAAACCAAGTAATGAGTGCAACAGATCGTCACATACACGAGAAAGCACATCACTGTGATTGGTTGAAAGTCACCAGAAAAAAAGCCAACAGAGTCAGGACCCAAGACCACAGAAACAGAATATAGAATGGGTAGAACAAAAGTGACCAATCATCAAGGGACATTTGGAAACAAAGACAAATTTGGGAAGGAAAAACATGAAATGACAGGCCTCAGAGTTAAAGAGCTAATCAGGCTTAGCTAGAGAGAGAATTAGTGAGCCGGAAGATACGTGAGCTATTAGTGAGCTAATTAGTGAGCTAAAGATATGTGCATCCCCCAGAACACAGCACAGAGAGACGAGATGGAAAATTTCAGAGATATGGAAGATAAAACAAGAAGTTCTAAAATGTTTAAAACCAGAGATTCTAAAGGAGATAATAGGGAGACTGGAGGAGAGAGAATGTTTAAAGAGAAAACAGTGCAAAATTTACAGAACTGGTTAAAATGAAAACATGTCTCTGGAAACCTAACGCACGACATACCCCAAACAGGACAAGTGGAAGCAATCCACGCCTGTCACGGCACGTCGAAACTGCTGAACGCCAGACACAAAGTGCAGACCTTCAAAGGACCTGGAGGACAAGGACAGACCACTGTAGAGGAGCATCTGGGTAAATACAGCAACTTCCCAATAGTGGCAAAGAGTCGGAAGGAACTCAGACACTACTTCTAAAATGTTGAGAAAAATTAACTGTGGACCCAGGCTTCTTTTTTTTTTTTCCTTTTTGTCTTTTTTACTGACCGGTGACGGGATCGCAACCCTCAGTGTTGCGCCCGCACTGTGCTCAGCCAGTGAGCGGGAACCGGTCTCCACACGGGATCTGAACCCTCGGCGGGAGCGCCACCGCGCTCCCAAGCGGCGCACTATCCAGTGCGCCACCGGGCTGGCCCAAGGACCCAGGCTTCTGAATCAGCAACATCTTTCAAGACTGAGGGCAAAAAAAAAAGACATTTTCAAATGAGCAAAAACTGAGACCCTAATTCCAAGAGAACCGCCCTGAAAGGACTCCTAAAGGACACACTTCAGGACGGAGGAAAACGATCTCAGAAGGATGGTCTGACATATAAGGGATGGTGACAAATTTTTTAAAAACCTCTGAAACGACAAAAGTATAAATTGACCAGGAATGGAGGAAAAAATAACAGCAAAATTTGGGAAGCTGAAAAGTAGTGGTAAAAAGACAACTGATTAACAGGCCTGAGGAAAACAAATCCTAAACTGAGGGCTGAGGTTCACAAATTTGAAAAACTGAGCACATTTTTAGCCACAGAATATTTAACAGCTCAGGGAATTGGTCGTTCCAAATGCTGATGCTACCAGATTCTATAATATCTTTGTATGATTTTGGAGTAAGAAAATGATGATACCGTGACATGAATCCAAGTGTCCATTTCTCCTCTGAAAGACTTCATGAAAAACTTGCTATAGTTTGAATGTCCCCCCAGAATTCATCAAAGTTTGATCCCCAGTATAGTAATGTTAAGAGGATGGGAAACTCAATGATGTATCTGAAAGGCGGGGCCTTAAAGAGCTGATTGGATCCTGAGGACCGTGCTCTCGTGAGTGGATTGACTCATGCTCTAGTGAATGGTTCAGTGGGTTGTCACAGGAGGGACACTTGGGGGTTTGTAAGGAGAGCAAATGAGCACCTTGGAGAGCTCTTGCCGTTTTTCGCCATGTGACACCCTGTGTCACCATGGGAGTCTGCACAGAGTCTCCACCAAGAAGAGGGCCCTCACCAGATGTCCCCCCTGGACTGTGGACTGCCCAGCCTCCAGAACTATAAGAAATAAATTTTGTTTCTTTATAAATGACCCACTTTCATGTATTCTAAGTGACAGAAAACAGACTAATAAAAAGCTGTTATTAACTTTTCCTTAAATACTTTATAGAACATTTTACGGAGTTAACCAAGTGAG